AAATAAACCTTCCCCTGACTCCTCAAGAGCTCACACGCATGCTTGACAAACTCCAAAGCATTATGAACCACTGTGAGAAGTACAAACTGAATAATAAGAGAAACATAAAAAAGGAGGATGCTCAGACGCTGCTGGTGGAGGCACAAGAAGCTGAGTAAGTAGAGTATTCTCATATTGGTGTGGCAGCTCCAGCTGGGGTGGCACTGTGCACAGTAGGACTGCTCCATACCCCTGGCAGTATCCCAATAACACTGGAAGGAGAGCTCAGATGGAGATTTCACCTTGCCTTTTCCACAGGGCCCTTCCAGCAGGAAGGAGCCATAGCTACTTGTGCTGCAGGAGCCAACATGCTGAAAGGAAGCAGCTCCTGACAGCTCTGGCTCCTTCTCCTGCTGAGTCAGAGAGACCAAAGCAGCTACTTAATTCCACCTTGGAGCTGGTGGAGCATTACATATGGCTTAATGGGTGGTTTGAATAAGGGTGAGAAAGACCCAACAAGAGAAAATACATGTTCATCTATAAGTGCTCCCTACTAGCAGTGCACCACCAGGCAGCCAGTGGCATAGAACTTCACCCTGAGTACAGCAACTCAGGTGCTCCCCAACAAAGTCCTTTTCTGAGGTTTTGCTTTACCAATTTACTACCATTTTAATGGTTGTTTTTGGACTTGAGGAAACATTCCTGCATGACATCATGGGTGCATTCCAAACATGTTCTTGTTTTGGTCACCACACCATGATATGACACACACCTCCTTTTTTCCATTTTAGCAAAGCAGCTAAAGCTCTTCTGCCAGTGGAAGAAATTAATAATAAATTTAAAAATGTTGTGAAGTCTCAAGAGCACTCCAAAAACACCATCATGAAGTTAAATGAAGAGATACAAGCCATCAGAACACAAATCTCTCAGGTATCTTGCTGCAAATATTTTATTTGCTATATTTATTAGAAAGAGACACTTCATTCTGAAGTTTCCTTAATATAAACTTAAAGAAATAAAACCAGAATGTGGCACAGATATGACACCAATTTGATACTGCTTAAGGGTCTCTTAATCCATTGACAGTCCCTCATTACCACGGTCCACAAGCTGGATGGACATTGCATAAGGAATCACAGCCTTCAATTGCTCTGTTTTAGGCTGAGAACCAAGTGAACCAGACAAACGATAAACTAAATGACTTGTCAGCCAAGCAGACTGAGATGGAAGATGAAAGTGCCACATGGCAGGCAAAAATGCTGATGAACAAGAATCAAGCTAAAAAGGCAAGAGCAGAGGCAGAAGCAGCTCACAAGCGAGCCCAGAATATTGATAATGTAAGTCCTTCTGTCACATATTAAGGGACAAAAACCCTCCTCCATGTTTATTAGTATTTTTGCTTCAGAGGCATTGCCTTGCTGTCATCAAAAAATTAACATTTTTTCTTATGCCACTCATATAAAATGCCACAGGTTAAGAAGAATTTTTGTTTTATTTTAAGGTTTCTGGCATACACTTCTGTTTGCTTGAGTGAAAGAAAACATACACATTTCTCTGGCTACTTCATGGCATTTTTTCTTGCACTGTGTATAAGATTTTGTCCATGGACAGTCACCATGAGCACCAATAAACACAACAGAACAAATCACAAAACCAGATATTAAAATACATGAATGATGGAAGCAGCCTGACAATTCATCCTTTGCTGTTCTCCTTCAGAGAAAATTGCTTTGGAAGTTACTTGGAGTTTTTGGTTGGCTTGATACTTTCCAGTAGTTCAGTTTTTTTGGAAAATGCAGCTAGAAATTTGCTAAAATGGCAAGAACCAAGTACCCACAGCACAAGCTTGGAACATGGCCATATTTCCAAATCACAAGAACCATAATCTAACGCAAAATCTAAATTACAGCCACAACAGCAACCTAGATCAGCAGGGAGCAGATTAGCCAGTAAATACTACTGCAATTGAAAATGTAAAAATCCCCATGTTGCTACAGATAATTCATTAAATTTTAATTAAGCCTTACAGCAAAATGAAATTTACAGAAAAGCCCTATCAACAGAGGCAAAACCAGCATAAATTTAAAATATCTTAAATAATATTTTCTTTATATCCTTACCCTTCCCTTTCCTTTAGATTACTCCACTGGCAGTTTTTTTTAATTGATTTCTATCATGTTTTGCAAAGCATTTTCAATGTCTACAAATTAAGGATATATTTTTTAATATTTAAGAGAATGAGAAATCTAAACTTTGGCTCAAAGAGGATGTTAAAAAAAAGTATTAAAACTTCCTTCTGTACACAAGATTAATTATAAGATGCTCTTTAACTAAATAATGGCATTTTGTTACAGAAATTTACTGACATTAAAAGAAAGTACACCATTCTTCAAGAAAAGCTAAAAACCCAAGGACCTCCAAAAGTAACACTAGAAAAGGTGAAACAGTTGAAAGAAGAAGCAGAAAAATTGGCTGAAGAGACTGAAAAGAAGATAAAAAGAATAACAGGTAATGTTCTGACTTCCACAGTGAGTGGTAAGCATTGTGATAGTCATAAGTTCAAGGCTGAAGTCCTTGCCCACAGACACTAACACACTAAGTTCACCTAAAATTAGGTCTAAAACAATTTACCTGGTGAAAATCCCTGCCTGATGCTACTCATTTTGAAAGTATTGGCTTATGTACTTTTTCTGACTTAAATACATTAGTATAAGCAAAGGTTAAGAACTGTCCACACAGGGACTTTCAGTGATTTTCTTCAGTTTAAAAACAGGGCAAGTGCAAAACCTGCATAAAACCTGGCTGCAGATTTAGCTGGAGTCCCTGATTTATGCATTTGCTTTGGGCACTTGGACCTCTGATCCTTCCTCTACTCTCTATCTTTCCCCACATCACCCAAGTAAGGGAAAGTATAAATAAGTAAGGGCTTGTGTGATAGAGCTGTAGGGCAGCTGTTTTCTGTCAGTTCATACTTGTTCCCTTTCGGGCATTATCTCTGAGCAATGTCAGAACAAACCAGGTACAATTACCAGCTTGTGGTAACTGAAGCTGACGTGTCCTGAATCTGTGGGGCCATGACTGTCAGGCAGAGGGGTCATGGGCATTGGAGACTGTAGCTGTTGTGGCTGTACCAGCACCACTGCTCACACAGGCTTAGAGGGTCACCAAAAAGGAAGAGCACATATCAAGTCCCTGAACACAGGGAACCTAATTGTCCTTGTAGTGAAGGTCTGGGCATTCCCACTGGGAACCCTTAGACCTTGGATCCTGCCAGGCTCAATATCAGAAAATACCATGTAACAGCAGCAAAACCAAGCAGAAACTCTATCCTAATAGAAAACTCTTCAGACAGGATCCAAATAAATATTTTGAGCACATACCTTGAGGAAAGGCATTAATATCATCCCAATCGCTCCCAATGCCTGCATGATAAGGACATTAGAAATATGTAGTGCATCCTGTGGATTTAAGTCACTAGCAGTATATTTACATTAATGTAGCTTCATAGGAACCAGCAGAAAATAGTTATACAAGTGAAGGAGACCTAAGCCAATCACACCCAAACTGTCTAGGTTTTACACTCATCAGGGGATACACTGTTCCTCTGAGGGTTTCGATTTAAACCAAGTCCTTTAAGAGCTCCATGTCCTGCCCCATCCTAGCTGATGCACAAAAGCACATGCTGAGAAATTAATATCTTCAAGGCTGCCATGCTCCTCTTGCTATCCAGAAGACAGACTTTTCCCTCCAGTTGCATATATTACATTCCCCATTCAAAATGGGATTATTGCTTCTGAAACTTCTGGGAAGAGAAATTCTGCTAATCCCTAGATTTTACGTACACAACAAATGTGAGCATCATTGCATGTCTCTGCTCTTCCAGATTTGGAGAAGAAGCTTCGGGAACTGAATCAAACCAAACAAGATAAGGCAGAGCAACTGAGAAAACTAGAGGAACAAGTGATAGCCATTAAAAATGAAATTGTGGAGCAGGAAAGCAAGTATGCAACATGCAAGAGTTAGGGTCTGAACAGATGATCAGGTAAAATGAAGCTGAAATCACCATGATTACCACATCCTGAGCATCCTGGCACAGGCCACTGTCCTCTGGAAATACATCTGGAGTGGCCTCATGAATAATGTAATTTTTATCTTTTTTTCTTTTTCTTCTTTTGTCCTTTTGAATTTATATGGAAATAGGAAATACTTTGTAATAAACCATCTGATTTAGTAATCAGGTGTAGTCTTTGAGGGAGCTCTATATTCTTGTGCACAGTCTAGGGCTTCTTGTGGTGGAGGGTGGGTCAGAAATGCAAAAGAAGGATTTCTCAGAGAGCAAAGACAGAATCCCAACACGCTATGTCTTCTGCCAAACCCCAAAAAACGTGGTTGTGCCATGACCCTGCACGGGGCTGCCCAGACTCCGATGGGGCGGTACAGACGAAACCCTGCGGGCTCCTGCAGCCACCCCTGCTGACAACCAGCAGCATCCCCAGGCACTGTCACTGCTCCAGCCCCATCTCTTCACGGAGGCATTGCAGGGTTCCCTCACCAGGAGCCCTGACGATGCGAGGGTTCCCCTGTGTTCCCTGGAAACGCGACGGGCTCCGGGCGGCGGCTCCGGGCCATTAGCGCCGGGCGGCAGAGCTGATTCCCCAGCGCCCACTGGATGGCGGTGCTCAGATGCTGAACGCTGAAAGCAGCTTGGAAATCTTTTCTCTGGCAATGGCACTCCCGCAGCGCCCGTTTTCCTTATGCTTATAAGGGGTTTCAGACATTTTTCATTAACATAACCAACAGCTGGAGAACTCCACCTCTTAGGTTTAAGCAGTGAATCTAAAGGGCCAGAAATGTTGAAAGCCGGTTTCTCCTCTTCTTCTACTAATGCAGCACTTCACAGAAGTCAGGATTCACTCAGCAATTTCTTTTAACCATCAAGAGCGCATGAATTGGCTTAAATTTTAGGCTGTATTTCTTTCCTCCTTCTTCTTCTTTTTTTTTTTTTTTAAATATATATATAAATAAAGAATGAATCTGCGGTTAAGCAATTGTTATAGACGTGCTAGAGACTGAAAAAGACTGAAGTGACTTCAGTCACGCAATTTCAAAGTCCCGCCCTTGGTATACACACTCCTGCAGGACACAGAGCAGACTAATGGATTTTCTAATGAAAGCAGACTAATGATGGATTTTCCTCATTCAAAGCCAGTCGTGTCACTCCTGGACTGTCCCACAGCGAGGGACTTATTCAGCACGGTGCTGCCTCAGAGCTCGGATGCAGCCCAGACCACATCTGTAAAACGAGGAATGCTCAGCGGGAACACAGGGATCTTAACATTTACCCATGGCAGCAGCACCCGTGAAACAATCCTCATCGATCCAACGGAGATAAACTCTGCACAGTTATCACCCTGTGTTTACAAGAGCTAAAGTAGCGCTGGTATGCGCTGGGGGCTTGAGTGGGAAGTGCTGGAGGATGAGATTTCAGATACTCCTCTAACTCAAACCAGCTGTGCTCCAGGGCAATGTGCAACACGCATTACTCTGTGACACATCCTACTGTGAAAATAATGGAATCAAATTATAATTTTGATATAATCTAACAAAGCCACCTGAAGGAAGGAACACACGGAATTTGTGGGTTGGCATTTTCTGAATTTTAGCACTTTAAAAAAATCATCTGTGATGTGTGAAGTTTCTTTCTAAGTTACTAGGCTGGAATCACAATTGTATTTAGACTGACTTTGATATAATGAAATCAAACATCTCTGTTTTACTCAGAGCACACACCTAGCTGCTCACATGCAGATCTCCAGGTAATGAAGGATTTTCTGCAGGTTTCAGTGCATCTCTGCTGGACTGCACCTGGAAGAGACAAACTGAAGCTCTTAGAAATTCCCAATTGGATATAAACCAAAATTATTTCATTCATAGCTTTAAAAAACAGAATTCACAAGCAAAATGTTGAAAGAGGACTTCCTCCTAAAATCCACTGTTGACTAGAAGAATTGCTGTATGGCTTTCCACACGCTGCATGGATGAGGAAACAAGGCAGTTGATTAGGTCTGGAGAGGAGATGTATCCATGGGGTGAAACAGAAATAGCTGGAAGGAAAGTGGAAGCAGAAACAAGAAAGTCAGCAGAGTCTAACCTCCCCTGCCTGCCTCCAAGCATGCTCAGACACGCAAAGGAAGCAGATCCAATGGGACCAGTGGCCACAGAACTCCAAATCCATCCTATGACAGCTTCTGGGGTTTACAACTGTGTAGCATTTCCCATTGGAAATGATGCAAAAACTTTCAAAGTGTTTTTTTTAAAAGTTAATTTGTGGGGAAAATGCTGTTTCTAGATAAAACCTACCTATTTGTAGTTCCCCCTGGACCTCTTCCTTGTGGGCAGAAATGGCTTCAGAAAACTGTTTCTTGAAAAAGAATTGAATTAAGTTTCTTGCTGTAGAGCATTTTGGCTTCAGTGGCATTAATCAAAATGCAAACAACACAACCAGACTGACATATAATCAAATATATATTTAATCAAAATCATATCATCAGCTCTACCTACCAGACATTCAACCACTGCAGTGTTTTAAGAAAATGGGTGAACAAGTGAGTCCCACTGGGGTCAAATTCTGAAATTTTGTTTTTTGAGAAGACTTCCAACCATGCACAAACATGGATACTCCAGGGTTGTAAAGGTGGTTCACCAACCATAAGGATAGGGCACGACACAAAACTGAACTTTTATCATTTGAAGAATCAAATTAAAATACTCCCACTCACTATTTGTCATGAGCACTGCAGAGAGGGAGGAGCACAAGTTCCCTGTTCCTAATTACTCACACACGAAATGTGATGGTTTTGGTTATGTCTGAAAGAATACCATGGTTGTGGGTGATGGTGGCCACCCCAGTCTGTGGCTGAAGCTCCAGCTCAATCCCTGATGTCACATGGCAGGGTCAGCCTCAGGCTGGAACAAAGCACATTTTCATGTTCTCTGTGGCAAGGCACAAAGGAGCCCATATGGGAGGATAGGACTTCTACAAGGCTATGAAACAAGAAAAAAAAACAAAAGGAGAAAACTTCAATAAAAGTTGAAAACATAAGGGACAGAAAAAAGCTCAGCGGCAATGAAACAGTTGCACATGGGGTGATGCCACTGCCCATCTGCCATGGACCAGAGGAGGCTCTAACACCAGCAAAGTAAAAAATTTTCTGTTAGTGAGGATACAAAAACATTTTTTGTAATGAAACGTAAAAAATGTAACAGGGTTATGAAACTGAATTTGTTTTGTGAATTTAGGAGACCAAATTGCAGAAGAAATTTAGAATATTACAATTCCTGCCCTGTCCATTTAGAATGATTCAATTTCATGGATATCTTTAATGAAACAGCTCCACAAGTTCTTTAATCCAGAGTCTTGGGTTATGTTTCAAACCTGGTGTTTAACCTTTAGGGCAAGTCACTTGGTATCTCCCTGTTTCTGCTTATCCATCTGTAAAATGAGAATGAACATATTTACCTACCTCGGCAGGGTTTGCTGGGCCAGACAGACCATGGTGTGTTTTCATTCTGGCACTGCAAATAGTGAGGGCAAAGTGTTCTTGAGGGACACTGGTACCTGGTAAAGATTTACACAAGTACACGTGTTACACGTGCACAAGCAAAACCTGGGTATATAAACCCAGGCATTTGTCCCAGCTACATCCATCTTTTATACAGACTCCTAGGTGTTTATTTACCAGTAAACCTTTTCCCTGGGTGTTGAGGGGAATGCCACCAGCCAATGAAACCCACATGTTCCCTTAGCAGAGGCCAGGGAACTGATGTGCAAGGCTGGGGCAGAGGGGCAGCTCCAGCACAGCCATTCATTCCTTGCAGCTACCCCAGTGCCCCTGAGAAGGCAACAGTGCTCTCCCAGCGAGTGTGACACAGCCTGGCAGTGGCTGGTCTAGGCTTGTTGGGCCTCTCTGCCTGTGCCAGGGCCAGATCTGGCCATGTGTGGCAGCATGGCCACTATCCCCAAGAATGACACTCCTGAGCCACACGTGCTGGCACCACAGCACCAGGCAGAGTTGGGTACTGAGCCTTGCGTGTGACAGTTGCCAACTCCCTGGTTCTTTGCTGGGTTTTTGACCTTACTACATAAGCATGCACCATTGTCCGTCCGTCCGTCCGTCCGTCCGTCCGTCCTTTCCTCACAGGGGCCCAGTTCCATCCACATTACCGGCAGAAGGCAGGATTAGGTCAATAACCCCATTCGTTCATTGATTTTGACAGGGGCAGGGAGGGGGCCACCCGATTCGTGATTCCCCCCACCTATCCGCAACCCCCTCCCGATTGTCGCACCCTGCCCAGAGCCCGTTCCCGACGCTGGAGAGCAGCGGGAAGAGCACAACCTGCGGCCCGGGCGGCTGGAGCCCCTGGTCCCCCGCTCGGGGCTCCCTGACTACAGCCGGACAGGATCTCCCCAGTCCGCTGTCCCCAGTCCGCTGTCCCCAGCCCGCTGTCCCCAGCCCAGCTGAGCTGCCCTTCCTCGACGGCTGCGTTCCCTGCCCCG